AAAAACTGAGGCCAACGACAGCAACAAGAAGTCCACAAGTGAATCTTACACTAAAACCACATGCTCACGTTGAAACCACCACCAACCAGACACAATAAACATAGACGCAACCAAAGCTACGACCGAATTTTTTTCACGCAAACGCCTACCCGCTTACCAGCACACGCACAGAATCAAACACAAACAGCCACCAAAATAAACGAAACACAAGTCCCAGCAGCTTCCACACCACAACGCTGGGTCACACGCTGGTCCACAGGCAGAAAAACAAACAACTGACCAACACTGGAAGTTAACACTTTCCAGATACAGCGAATCGAATTCTTGAAAGCTAGGAAACTTACCCAAATGCTCACTCACTACAACTTCCACCTCACCACATACAATCATTGCATAAATAACGATAAATACTCCAAAGGACTTAAATTGAAAGCGACACCTGCTCTACGCATGCTATCCTCGCAATACAAAGCAAACTGGCAAACAACACTTAAAAAAGCTTCGTTTTCTCTCCTAAACATACCGAAGAAACAATGCATCGATCAAACTGAACAATTTTATAAAAAGTTACATATTATGATTCTAACAGCCGATAGAAAAAGATCTGCAACAATTCGAAGCAAAAATAGAGAAAAATTTGAAGCAGAAGCAGAATAAGAAATTGATTTTAAATCGGGGAGCCCTCCACCGAGCATCCACTCTCGTCACACAAACAACTGACCACACAAAAAGAGAAGTACCCAACACAGCTGACACCTGCGTACAAATCGAAAAGCAGTCCAATGTCGTATACATTTTAGGGTCATTAGGTCGTGGAAGCGAGGCGTGGCTCAGTGGTTTACGCCTCGTTCGCACGACTTAATTCCTCAGTCTACCTGGGCCCATGTCCTAGAGCAAGCAATTGAATTTGACCTATATAATAAAGCTATTACTATATAAATATTAAATCAATCTAAAACAGCTGAGAAACCTAAGAAATTGACCGCTTTTCAAAAGCCACATTATTGCTAACCTCAAGTCACGTGAAGACATTATAATAGAGGCGGCTGATAAGGGTGGAAGCATAGTGATCCGGCCAATAGAGAAGTAAAAGCACGAAGCTTACACTCTAAGGCAAAATTACCCAAAAAAGGAGTAACGGAGCCCATTAGGCGCGCGCGATGAACGGATAGACCGTTGAGGAGCGACCACAGAGGAAAGCGTGCCGCGCGCAACCCACTTAGTCTCCAAACACGCCCCATAGGAATGAACCGCCCGGGAATTGCAGGTAGCGCGAAAAGCGTTGCCAAGGGAACTAGCCGTCCTTCTTCTTCTCTGTTGGCTCAGTCTTTCCCCGTATTTTGCTGGCGACGGTTCGCGTTGCGACGTGCTCTGAGTGCTCGACCACAGCCCCCTGAATTCGACAATTTAGGAATTACGGCGTGGTGCTTGTGTGTACGCTGGGATGAGCGTGGGCTGCTGCTTTTACGTTTCGCTGCACCCATGAAGTCTAGAGCAAGTCTCTACACACTACTACGCCGCGCTGTATATCTCTGGCTTCAACATAGTCACGACCAACACACGACTGCAACAGTTGGGAAGGCCAATATGGCGGCCGAGAAAACAGCAGGCCTATCGGATATATACTTCGGTCCGACTCAGGGAAGAAATCAGCGCTGGATTCTCAAGCAAGCAGGTTATCATTCTTTATTCTACTCTACTTGTCGCGTGTGCGATACGGATCGCGCTTGCCGTTAATGGGCTTGGTCGTGTTGTATATCGCACGCAATAAATGCACCGCCAAGGTCAGCTTGGGAGTCTGCAGTTCGCCTGTGCTTTGCGACCGCCTGGAAATCGGCCGCCATTGCCGTCGACCTCCCGTACGCTCGCTCATTGAGTGCTCGCCTGTCTTCGCCATCGCGATGAGTTCCGGGCTGACGATATTGGGCTAAGACTTCGTCGCTATGTTCGGAGTCATCGAAAACGCATTGCGGGTTCTCGTAAAGAGCTTGGTTGTGGCATGTAGCGCGCTGTAAGTGCACCAGCACGGGCTGGCGGGGCTTTCGCTAGCGTCAGAACTAACTGAAAATTGGTCGCCATTACAGTTGGCTTCCACGTCAATCGGTCGTAAGCAGCTCGGTGCCATCCGTTTGCCGTGGCGACAGACTCGTGTTTGCGCGCTGCACTCGCTCGAGTTTGTGGAAAAGGGCCGCATTACCGTCGATTTGTTTGGCGCTAGCTCCAAACCCGCTCTGCGCTGTTTGGGGCGGCGGCCAAGCGTACGCTCGCTCTCCTGTTCGAACTTCGCTGGCGGCAGACACTCCGCGTGCAGCGCCATGTTTGGTCTAGCGTTGGCTTGCTCGAGCTGAACGACGTCGATCGCTTAAGACTCGCCAACTTGTTAGTGACACAGTGGTTCGCGGAGTTGTGGCTGCGGCCGCCGCTCCTTAGCTGTTGCGCTACGGGGATCGAAAGGAGTCTTTGACGATGTGTGACATCACGGTGAACTTACTAGCATGTCATATCTCACGTATCATTTTATTTCACCTCGCTCGCATTTCTCACATGCATTTGTATTCATCCTCTGTCATGTGACTGACTATTTTACATACGTATTGTGCAGCCGTGGGTACACATCATGCTGAAGACTGTGTTCGCTGGCGTCTGCGATGGCTGTCATCCATCTCTTTCGTCAGAGCAGCTTCAGATGGATTGTGCGAGATGTGAAGGTAAAGTTATATTTGTGTCATATTTTACACGCATGTTTTTATATTAACGTGCACGTACTTGTCATATGCGTGCATCTTTACCCTTTGTCACGTATGTCTATCTTTGCTATATTATTGTACGTGCAGCCGTGGGAACACAACAGGCAGAAGGCTTCGTGCGCTGGCGTCTGCAATGCCTGTCATCTATCACTTCCGTCGGAGGAGCTCCCCAAGGAGTGAACAAGATTTGACAACGAGACTGGACTTCTACACTTCACCATGAATTCACTCAAAATAATGGAGAAACTTCGTGTGTATGTAAAAAAATAAAAGATTTCGATATCTCACTTTTGTCTTTTGTTGTTGCCATGACTGCGAAAGCAGTTACACATAAGTGGCTAACTACTTTTTCGCGTGTTCTTTTCTGCGGAATTTGTTGCTCACTGCGCAGAAAAACAGGCGAAAAGTATTAGGCCTGGCGGAAAATAAACAAACAAAAATGTTTGAACTGGGGACAAATATTCATCCGATTGGAGTAATTTAATAGATCAACCGTTTGTCCGGCAAGTTGCAACTGTGAGAATTGACGGTCGCGCGGTAAGGTGTAAATGTTGGTATTAACTATTGCCCTATAAGGTGCAAATGTGAGAATTAAATGTTAGTCATTTGAGGTGAATTGTGTGACTAACGGTTACTAACTGAGGTGAGGACTAAATGTTAGTTCCTTGAGCTCATCTGTGGGGACTAACTGGTAGACCCGGTGCCGTTAGTCTTTAAAAGGAATAATGATTCTGGCAGCTCCATTAGTCCCCAAAAAGACGAACTAAACACCCTTTTAACACCCTTTTGCCTTATGGTGTATTCAAACCAGGATTTGATTAAGAGTGTACAGAAAACACTAAACTACACCTGTGAGGAGAGCCCCACCAGGTCGGTTTCGTGGCTAAGGTACTCGGCTGTTGACCCGCAGGCGGCGGGATCAAATCACGGCGGCGGTGGCTGCATATTTGATGGAAGCGAAAACTCCGTGAGGGCCGTTCCAAGCACTTTCCACATAGCCCCAACGCACGTGCTGGGACCTCTACCGCACGCAATGGGGGGGGGGGGACAAATAAGCGAATTGGTGACGCTCCGGAGGGTGAAAGAGCGTCGCCAACGAGCGATGCTCTTTCCGTAACGCACAGCCGCAACGCACATGCCGGGACCCCTACCGCTTGCGTGCGGTAGGGGTCCCGGCATGTGCGTTGCGGCTGTGCGCTAAGTGCGTGGAACGGCCCTAAGCCCGTGCGCTCAGATACAGGTGCACGTTAAAGAACCCTGGGCTATCGATATTTCCGTACCCCTCCACTACAGCATCTCTCATAATCGTATGGCGGCTTCAGGACGTTGAATCCTCCTATCAAATCAAGCTAAATCATTCTGTGAGGAGACTTCTAACTTTCGTGTTATACCGATTTTTATGACAGAGTCGACGAAGTTTTTTATCATATTCTGCTATTGTTATATCATTTGTTTTATAAATATTACTTTTAAATTTGTTTAAAACTGCGTAAATATATACTTTGGCGGAGAGGTAACAAAAATATTCGGTTATAAGTCAGCATTGTTGTTTCTGTCCACCTTTTTCGGCTCCATTTTTTGCGCTGTTCGGGTACCCGGGTACATTTGTTTAATCTTGACTGAGTACACCAAAGCAGTGGAGATGCCGTGAACTTCTTATGTTGTATGTGATGATCACTATGGCCGCCGTGCAGCTGTCTTAGAGGGAAGTAAAGATTATCTGTCTGTCTTCAACAGAACACATCTTTATTTCTTTTCTGAATACTAATGACAGTGAAAAAACAAATTACACACTAACATTTGCCTGTCAACCAAAACACTACGTCTTCGGATTCACAGCTTTTTTTTGCTTCATTTAATTATCTGTGTTTCCTTACCGCTCCTTATAGCCTACAATACTCTATAGCAAACGATAACCATTCCGGGCGACTTGCATGACCTACATCAAGCAAAATCATTCTAATTAACGCATAATGCGCTTTGGGTTCGGAGAAAGTGCGGCAGTCCCAAGCGACATTGATGAATATGAGCTAATGCAAAGAACTCTTTGGTGTTTTTCAGCGCGTTGGTTCTGTTGAAGTGTCTATATAAAGGCTTCACTGCTATGCTATACATTAAGCGTTTCTTGTGCAGAAACTATGGCAAAAGTTTCGTGCTTCCATGCGGTGGCCATAATAGCCGCATTCATCTCTCTTCTGTCATTGATGTTGAATGACGGCAAGTCATGCGCCACTGCAGCCCCAACTGCCCCACCACGCCCAGATCCTCCAGGGGCCGTAGGAGGTGGTCCACCAGCCCGTCCAGGTTGGCGCATGCCGCCACGTCGCTGGGGCCTTGTTGTACCTGGCGGAGGCCCCGGCGCATTACCTGGTCCACCTCAGATGCCCGCACGTAAGAATGCATACTTCTTCACGTCACAGCATGAAGAGCTCTATATCATATTGTTACGAGGAAGTTGCATACACGACAGTTCCATACACGTATGTGTAACCGAGTTGGCACGGCCGCGATAGCGAGCGCAAGCTGTCGCTCCTACGTAAGCGTGACGTCACCCGCCTGGCCTACTTAAACTCGTCACTATAGGCAATAAAGTGTTGTTCGACCCATGATATCGTCTCGTACACATGGTGGCAGCGGAAAACAGCCAGCATGACGACACCGCCTACGTTGCCGACACCGCCTGCATTGCCGACAACGCTCCTGCCACCTCAGAAGCCCCTCGACACATCGCGAGACGCTTGGCTTGGGTGGAAAACCTGGAAAAGTGAGTTTGAGCTGTTTTCCACGGCAACTCAGCTGAACAAGCAACCAAAAGAAGTACAGGCGGCGACGCTTTTAGTGACCATTGGGGAAGAGGCTAGAAAAGTGTTCGCTTCGTTCAAGTTTGAGCCAGGAGAGGACACAACCGATGTAACCCTTATAATTAAAAAATTTGAAGACTTCTACCAGCCCGCGAAGAACCTCACTTACCAAGAGTTTTGCTTCGGCTCCCGAGACCAAAAAGAGGACGAAAGTTTCAATGACTGGCTTGTCGAATTGCGAACGCTAGCCCAACACTGCGATTTTGGAGACTTAGAAGAGCGCATGCTTCGTAGCCGCATCATACTCGGTATCCGGGACAAGGGACTGCAAAAAAAGTTAATTTCTGAAAACCCCTCTTACCAAAGAGTAGTCGAAATCTGTCGCATCCAAGAGCAAGGCGAGGAGCAGTTTCGACAGATACGTGGCATCACTGAAGGCGCTGAAACTGCAGCCGTAAATGCGTTGGCCAGAGTAACAAAGCCATGTAACAAATGTGGCTACAAAGTTCACCGCGGCAGCCGCTGCCCAGCAACAGGAAAAGCGTGCAAGAAATGCGAAGGATTGAATCATTTCACCCAAGCATGCTCGCAGTCATCCTTCTTGCACAGCGAAGATGCAAAGCGCAGGGAAATACGAGAGCTACATGTTGACGAAAGGTCAGATTTTTTTCTGGAAGCTTTAATCGTGAACGCACTCGCTAGCGACCAGTGGACCGCGACAGTTTCCATTGAAGGCCGTCCGATGGTCTGCAAACTTGATACTGGGGCAAACTGTTGTGTGATTTCAAAGGAAGATGTTTTGTCGCTTCCGAGAAAGACTCGTGAAGCCTGCCGAGCCACGTTAACGAGTTTTTTCGGCCACAAAATGACTGCGCAGTTTAAAGTAAAGTTGTCGCTATCCGTGAACGGTAAACAGCACGATGAAACCTTCTTCGTCATAGAGCAAAACGTGCCGGTGACCCTCAGCGGAACAGCAGCAGAAAGCCTTGGCTTGATTTATCGCGTTGATAGCGTCGAGACGCAGCAACTCTACCCGGCGGCTCAGCCCTTCACCGATGTTTTCACAGGATTGGGACAGCTGAGGAATTTTGAGTACGAAATGAAGCTCAAACCCGGCGCCGTTGGTGTTGTTGTGCCAGCCAGAAGGGTTCCGGTCGCCATTGAAGAAAAAGTAAAGGCCGAACTTCAACGCATGGAGGAGCACAACGTCTTAACCAAGGTAACCGAACCAACAGAATGGTCAAGCTATATGGTAGCCGTAGTTAAAGGTGATAAAGTAAGAATTTGTCTCGACCCAACGGAGCTTAACAAGGTTATTCTGCGTGAACACTACCCTATGCCTGTTCTAGAAGAGGTCGCGCAACGACTAGCTGGAGCTAAATATTTTTCTACCTTGGACGCAACATCCGGGTTCTGGCAAATAAAACTTTCTGACAGCAGCTCCAGATTGTGCACAATGAGCACGCCCTACGGGCGCTATCGGTTTATCCGCATGCCTTTTAGAATTGCTTCCGCCCCGGAAATATTTCAAGCAGCCATGCACCGCCTCTTGGAGGGCCTGTCTGGAGTAGCGGTTGTAATGGACGACATATTGGTCTGGGGCACAACGAAGGAAGAACATGACAACAACTTGACCGGGGTGCTTGCACGCTGCCGTGAGCACAACCTCCGTCTGAACTCACAGAAATGTGTCTTTTTGCAGGAGCCAGTTCGCTACTTGGGACACGTTTTCACCACGCAAGGACTGAGCCTGGGACCCGATCGCGTCCAAGCCATATTGGACATGCCTTACATGAACAGCAATATGAACAGCTTTAGTTAAGTGTCGAATGACACTCTAATGTTTGAGCGCACATGATACAACACAGTGCTACTAGAGACAAAATGTCTATTTCAAAAACTAGACCGCTTATAAACCACCCCACCAAGCAGAGAGTGGCAAACAGTCACACTGCCTCGGCGAAATCACGAGACGATAAAACAGAGGGCCACCCTTTCCGCACGAAGCATAGCCCGATAGGGGAAAATGATATAGAGAGCTTTGCTAATCATAAATCATGAAATGCATGGAGTAGTGCGGCTTTAACCAGCTCTCCACACTAAAGTCAATGAACATGCATAAAATATCTTCGTTTAGGGGGCGAATCTCCTAAAGTTATGGGTTTATCCTTTATCTGTGACTAGTGCGTGACCACCTAGTTCAGGGATGGCTCAGCAGGGGGGCTAGTGTAAGTGACGAGTCAATCCCGACGAGTCAACTCTCTGTATATCGACCAAGATTAACAAAAGGCCAGAAATCACACGCACGAGAGTTCACTGCAAGAAGCACTGCCTATGTCGGGTGGGTAATTTCATTTTTAATGGTGTTCTGTCAATCGCTTTAATGGTGTTCTGTTACCGCAAGTGAGCTACGGAGTTGAGCACTTATCGTGGCTGCGTCACCTTGCGATCAAGGGTGGTGATTCCTGCAGCACTTCGCGAACAAGCCATGTCTCTAGTCCACGGAGGTCATCGAGATATTGTTGCCATGAAAAAGTGCGTCAGAAGTTACATGTGGTGGCCGGGTATCGACCGTGACATCGAATCAACAGTTCACGATTGCCAGCCTTGCCAATGCAACCACGGAGCTTCACCAAGAGCTCCTATACCGAAATGGGAAAGACAACAAATGCCTTGGCACACCCTAAACATTGACTTTGCTGGACCTATCGAAAGATGTTCATTCCTGGTGGTTGTTGACGCACGCAACAAATGGCTGGAGGTAAAAGAAATGGGCACAACGACATCGGTGGCAGTTATCGGCACTCTGCGGTAGTTGTCTGCAACGTTCGGACAACCGCACAAGGCTGTCTTCGACAACGGTACTTCGTTTGTGTCCATGGAGATTCTCAAGTTTTATAGAGACAATGACGTCTTGTCTATTACGTCAGCTCCATACCACCCGGTGACCAGCGTGCAAGCCGAGCGCTACGTGACAGAGATCAAACGTGCCCTCGCTAAAGTTCAGACTCGGACAATGCAACGCCGCGTCGCGCGCTTTCTCTTCAAACAACACAACACTGTTTAAAGCTTTACAGGCGAAACACCAGCGAAACGGATGTTTCGTTGAGAAATGCGAACCCAGCTGACAGCAGTTGTCCCAGAGCCCTCGGCGAAGAAATCGTTCAAGGGAAAAAAAGCTATCGCATAGCAGAAGAATTCAAAGTGGGCACCGCATATCCGCCTGCCAATTTGACAGAGGGCCTGGCTGGGTTGAAGCGACGGTACTCATACGCACAGGTTCGCGGTCATTGCTCGTGGATTTCGGTGGAAAGGCCACACGCCGCCACCTTAATAAGCTACATCGTCCAGGTAGTTTGTCGAGGAAAAGTTTCATTCAAGCAAGCACCCGGACAGCAGCTTCGTCCCACTTAGCCCGGGATCTCGCATCGGATGAATCGGCGCCGCCGCCGACCTGCACTGACCAGTGAGGAAGACTACACTCAGTGAGCGGAGGCTCCTCTTCCCCCCAGAGCGTCCACGCGATAACAGTGGCACCCAGATTACTTATAAGCGACAATCTAAGAAGGGAGGAGATGTTGTGTTCCGAACCACCCCTGGGTTCCGAGCGAGCCTCTGAGCGGTACACAATGAAGCGGTGGATGACTGGTCGCAAACGACTCCGGTCAGTAAGACGCCTCCTCTTCCTCCTCCTCCGTCTCCCGCTCGACACAACGATGCGCCGTTCGCTTACCCACTGCAGTTCAGCTGCCACCCCTTTTGAGCAGGAATAAATATGCCTTTTCCTTACCCTTCCAGAGGTACGTGTATGGGACGACAGCCCCGGACTTAACAGAAAGGGAATATTGCACGCGTATGCAACTCTCCAATACATCGTGTGTATTCTGGTTTTAAAGCTTGTTGGCACACATAAGAGATACTTGTTGGCGCACATAAGAGATATTTCATCATACCACATTTGCTTTGAATATCTATCATATTAAGGCTGAAGTAATCTTCATGAGACACTCTGTGTGTATAAAAACACAGCATACCTCAGCTTGCAATATTGCAATCATACAATAAGCAACCGCTTACTGCCGCTTTTCGTAGAAATGTTAGCGTGGGAAGATGACACAGCGTATCTTCGACGCCCTGTCATAAGGTTATTTGGAGCTCTTATTCTAACATGCTATCAAATGGAACTTCGAATTCACACCCTGTTAAGAAAAACACCGAATTTCTAATATATATATATATATATATATATATATATATATATATATATATATATATATATATATATATATATATATATATATATATATATATATATATATATATATATATATATATATATATAGTTATAAACTTCGAGAATAGTGCAGTATAGGAAACAAAACAATAAAATATTGATTTATACCTAACAGTTTCGGCTGGTGGACCAGCCTTCTTCGGAGGATGTAAGTGAAATGATACAAGTTCCCGTAGCAGAGGGTCACCCTCACAGTTTAAAGACCCTCCAAAAAAAAGAGAGAGAGAAAAAGACAAGCGGGCGAACGAGGTAGCAACAGACAAAAAGAAGCAGAAGAAGGAGAGGAACTAGAAAGGAGCGACGGAGAG